ACTCAAGACTTTCTGTAGCCATGGAGGCTGGATGAACCCCCAAAACTACTGCCCTGAGATAATCTTTAAACCTTAAACCAGAAATATTCCCTGAAGCTTTCTGAAAACCAAACAGTGGTTTAGCTTAACTAGTGAAGAATGTCTGCCTTGAGCATCATGCTCTTTTAAGATCTATCTATATGGGATCAAATTGACAACAGCAACTTGAAAGTTTAGATAGTAAACTTAGGGGGTAGTGAGTTTATGTTAATGGAGGAGAAACAATTCAGAAAAGAAAGATGAGAATGGTTGCACAACTTGAAGAACATAATCAATGTCACTGAATTATACATGTAGAAATTGTTGAATTAGTGTATGTTTTGTTGTGTATATTTAACAATAAAAACAATAATAATAAAGACTCCATTTTAGCAGCCTGGGTAAAGATGCTCTCCTGCTAGCCTTGAAGAAGCAAGCCATGATGTCATGGAGCAGGCCACATGGCAGGGAACTGTGGGCAGCCTCTAGGAGCTGAGGGTCTCAGTCCTACAGCTGCAAGTAACTGAATTCTGCCAACAACCACATGAGCTGGGAAGAGGACCCTGTCATGGATTAAACTGTGTCCCCCTAAAATGTGTGTCACCTTGGCTAGGCCATGATTCCCAGTATTATGTGATTGTCCACCATTTTGTCATCTGACATAATTTTCCTATGCGTTGTAAATCCTACCTCTATGATGTTAATGAGGCAGGGTTACAGGCAGTTATATTAATGAGGCAGGACTCAATCTGCAAGATTAGGTTTTGTTTTAAGAATCTCTTTTGAGATATAAAAGAAAGAAATGAGCAGAGAGACAAGTGGATCTCAGACGACCAAGAAAGCAGTACTGGGCATAGAGCGCATCCTTTGGACCTGGGGTTCCTGTGTGGACATACTCCTAGACCAGGGGAAGATTGATGACAAGGACCTTCCTCCAGAGCCGACAGAGAGAGAAAGCCTTCCCTGGAGCTGGTGCCCTGAATTCAGATTTCTAGCTTACTAGACTGTGAGAGAATAAACTTCTGTTTGTTGGAGCCATCCGCTTGTGGTATTTCTGTTTTAGCAGCACTAGATAACTAAGACAGACCGTGAGCCTCAGATGAGATTGCAGCCCTGGCCGACACCTTGATCACAGCTTTGTGACACCCTGAGCAGGGCACCAAGCTAAACTGTGCCCAGACTTCTGACCCATGAAAACTGTGAGATAATAAATGGATGTTGTTTTAAGTCACATGCAGTTCTACTCTGTCACGTGGTGTCTCTATGAGTTTAGATTGACTCGATGGCACTTAACAATAACAACAACAGCAAGTTTATGGTAGTTTGTTATGCAGCATAGAAAACTAATGTCGTTAGTTGCTGTCAAGTCAATTCCGACTCACGGCGACCCCATGCGTGTCAGAGTAGAACTGTGCTCCATAGAGTTTTCCAGGCTGTGACCTTTCAGAAGCAGACTGCCAGGCCTGTCTTCCCAGCCTTCTCTGGGGGGGTTTGAACTGCCAACCTTTCAGGTAGTAGCTGAGCACTTAACCATTTGCACCACCCAGGGACTCCTAGAGAACTAATTGTTGTTGCTGTTAGGTGCTGTCAAGTCAATTTTAAATCATAGCAACCCCATGTGACAGAGTAGAACTGCCCCATAGGGTTTTCTAGGCTGTGATCTTTGCAGGAGCAGATTGCCAGGTCTTTCTCCCACGGAGCCACTGGGTAGGTTCGAACTACCAACCTTTCAGTTAGCAACCAAGCTTAAACATTTGTGCCACCAATGCTCCTTAGAGAACTGATAACGGTGGCTGGTTTCAGGTTGCCAACGATTCATTAACTGGATCCCAACATTCTTGAGAATGTAACAGTCAGCTCTCAGCCGCTGTCCCATGTGGCTTCGGTACAGCACTGATAACAAACAACCCAACAACTGTTTATGTCCTAACAACTTAGAAACCATTTGAAAAAATAAAAAAGAATTGAAAAAAAGTTTGTATTTTATTTATAAAGCCCACAATTACTTCCCCATCGGATGTGTATGCCTGTTGGGTGCTGTACAACGTTTCAAACCTTGGGATCAGAGTGGACCGCGCCACCCTCATTTCCTGTCCCAACTTAACTTGTGAAGCCTTCGTTTATTTATTTATTTTTAATTGAAAATTGGATGGGGATAACTGTAGATTCACATACAATTGTAAGAAATAATACAGAGAAGTTACTTGTACGCTCTGCCCAGTTTCCCGCAATGGTTTATCACAGCAACTGCTGACAACTCAGTTTCACAAAGACAGAAAATCATCGAAAGGAGTGTAACGCCATCTAGTGTCGAACCTGTGAACAACTCGAGCTAGCAGTTGGTGTGGTATCTGATCCACATCGTGTTTCCCTCAAACCACCGAAAATATCCCAGTTTTACCCCATCTTAATTCTGGTGCCGCTGTAACAGAAATACCACTAGTGGGTGTTTTAAAGAACAGACATTTGTTTTCTCACAGATCAGGAGGGTAGAAGTCAGATTTCAGGGCACTGGCCTTAGGGGATAGGAACTCTGGTGACCCACAGGTTACAGGGCTCGGTGACTAACCAAAACGTCGGCAGTTCAAACCCACCAGCCAGTCTGCAGGAGAAAGATGAGGCAGTCTGCTTCCGTAAAGATTACAGCGTTGGAAACCCTATGGGGCAGTTTTCCTCTGTCCTACAGGGTTGTTATGAGTCAGAATCCACTTGAAGGCAGAGGGTTTTGTGGCCCTAAGGAAGGTCTCTCTCTGTTGGCTCTGGGAGCAGATCCTTGTCTCAGCTTCTCTAGACCTGGTGCTCCTAGGTTCCTTGGAGATCTCCAGTGGCATCTATCTTTCCCCCATTTGTGCTTGCTTCTCTCTGTGTCTAATCTCAAAAGTCATTAGGTTTCAGACATACCCTACACTGATATGGCCTCCTTAACACAACAAAATCCTATTCTCAAATGGTATTACATCCATAGGCATGTTGCCATTGAGTCGATATTGGCTCATAGCAACCCTACAGGACAGAGTAGAACTGCCTCATAGGACTTCCTAGGCTGTAAACTTTGTGGGAGCAGATCGTCAGGTCTTTTCTCCCGAGGAGCCACTGGTGGTTTTAAACTGCTGACCTTTTGGTCGGCAGTTGAGTGCTTCACCATTGCACCATCAGGGCTCCTGATCCACAGGTATAGGGGGTTAGGATTCCAACACAATTCAATCCATAACATCCCCTTTGAGTTTTCTGCAGTGCTCTGAGGTGCCTTGGGGCACACTTTGGGAAACACACTCTTAAGCAATTCATTCATTCAGTCCCTATATACTTACTCTGTGTCAGGTACCTTTACAGATGTTCACAGAGGTGAACAAAAGAGACAAAAATCTCTGCCTTCATGGAGCTTCCAGTTCAGGTGGGGTGACAGATCACATGCCAGATAAGTAAAGATGAATACAGAGATGAGAAGGACAGGTTGGCAGCTGGTTTGTTTCAGGCATAAACAGACCCAGAGATGCTAATGGCGTCAAGGCTCATTCATGCCATAGCTCGATCTCTAGTCCCCACTTCTGTCTACTGTCCTCATTCTCCCGGGATCCACTAGGTAGTGGGAACTATGACAGCGGCAGTCCTGGAGTCCTGTTCTTCTAGCCCATGAGGTTTCCCACAAAATACCAGGAAAGGATGCAATTGACTCATGTGTTTCCCACAAAATACCAGGAAAGGATTCAATTGGCTCATGTGTTTCCCACAAAATACCAGGGAAGGATTTGATTGGCCCAGCTTGGGTCACATGTCCATCTCTAGGCTAATCACTGTGATTGTCTGGACCTAAGTCATGTGACTGGCAAGGCGGTATATTATGGTGGAAGCCCACCGGAACCTTATGGAGGGTTGAATACTATTAGCAGAAGAACAGAAGAGATGCTGGGGGTAGGGGGTGGGGGGAAGGACAGCAGATGTCAGCCACCCTCAGCCACTCCCCTTCCCCCTCACTCCATCCCCCAGTCACTCAATCTCTCCCAAATTCAGCCAACAAGCAGGTCCCACTCTCTGCTTTCCAGATCCAGGAGTGGGAGACTCGGCTCCTCACCCATCATAAGGGTGTCACAGCCCCGGGATTCATCCAGGATCAGAAGGTCAAGATCCGGCGGCGGATCAAGATCCTGGAAGACCAGCTGGACAGGGTGAGGGCCAGCCCCTTGTTTCTCTCAGGCCTGAACTCTGAGGACTGGGGGCAGACTGAACAGGGGGCTGGGTTCTGGAAAATGTGGATCAGATTCCTGAGTGTGGGATGGCCTGGAACACAGATCAAGGGACAGGACCCCGCAGGGGTGGAGGGTCACCAGTAGAAAGGAGACTGATGCCTAGACCCTTGAAGGGGACAGGGTGTTGCTCAGGGTCCCTTCCTCAGGCAGGCTGTCTGTTGTTGCCTCCCCAGGTCACCTGCCGCTTTGACATCCAGCTGGTGCGGAATGCGACGCTGCGGGAGGAGCTGGACCTGCTGCGGGTCCAGAGGAACCGCTATCTGAACGTGGACCGCAAGCTACACAAGGTCAGCCACCTGCCACTGGGGCCCTGGCCCAGCCTGGCTGAGCAGAGTGTGGTCTTCACCTGGGACCTCCCCCCAGCTGCCCACCCTTCCTGCTCCAACACTTGGGCTTTAAGTCCTGAAGGATTGGAGCCATAGGTTTCCAGAGTGGAGACTTGGAAAACATCCCAGGACTCCTGTAACAAAGAAAGCAGTCTGATCTTTATTTGCAGAGAGCAGAGATGGCATTTTGAGTATTGTCACCCAGGGCAACCAATTAGCAAGACCATTAATATACCACGGGTATCGCAATAACCTTTGACATCCTTTGAAGAATCCCATTTCCTTCCTTCCCTGTTTTCTCCCTCCCTCCTTTGCTCCTTCCTTCCTTCTCTCTTTCCTCCCTCCCTTTCTTCTCTCTCTCTACCCCTCCCCCCTTTCTTTTTTAATTCCTTCCTTCCCTCCTTTCCTGTCTCCTTCCCTTCCTTCCTTTCTCCCTCCTTCCTTCCTTCTTTCAGTTTGAACTTTTATTTTGAATAACTTCAGACTCACAGAAAAGGTACAAGAATAGCACAAAGAACTCCTATATCACCCTTCCCAAGATCCCTCTGTCCTCTTACCTCACATCTCTTTAAAACCCCTCTCCTGGACAGCTGCTCATCAGGCAGGTGCACACTTTGAAGGCACAGGAATGCCACCTCTTACTGGAGAGGTACAGGGCCTGAAGGAGAGACTGATGGGACTAGGCTGTAAGAAGTGGTGTCTGTTTTGTCTCGCCCCCAGGAGATCCAGCACCTGCAGCAGGCCGTCAACACCCTCATGGTCTCCTCCACCTCCGCCTACACCGTCAGGTAGGGCCCCACAGAGGCATCCTGAGTGGCTGGGCCCAGGTGACTCGGGATGCACTTTTTCATAAGGTAGTGCCTGAAAGGTTCGGAACTCCAGGAATAGACCATCAGAATGGAATTGTATTTTTTCGTAAAGTGCCCCCTTTACCTCACTCCCCCTTGGTTTCCCCAGTTCCTTGGGGACAAGGTCCCATTCCTTGCACCGTGTAATTCATCCCATCTCGCCCACCCGGGACACAAAGGGCATTTTGAATATTGTCACCCAGAGCATTCCTCTCCTCTCTCCCCATCCGATGTTGTAGCTTCCTTCCTCACCAATCTCTCCCCCTTCTCTGACTCTGGGGGTCTCCCTTCTCTGTCCCCTCTTCCTGTCTCTGCACCCCACACTCAGCAGCTGCAGCAAGGAGGAATTCGGATGGGAGGTGCCGCCTCGCTCCCATCTGCTTCTTACTCTGCCCCCTCTCTCTCCGAGCCTGTGTGTGTGGTTTCCTCCCTCACCAATCTCTGCTCCATCTCTGACTCTGGGGCCTCCTCGTCTCTGTCCTCCTCTCTTCCACAGCCCAGCTCAGTGGCCACCTCCTAGTCTCTGCTTCTCCCCCAACCCAACTTCCAATGTCCTTGACCTCGGGCTGACTCCTTCTGGGCCCCCTATCGCCCCAGGGAGGAAGCAAAGACCAAGATGGGCTTGCTGCGGGAGAGGGCCGAGAAGGAGGTGAGCCAGAACGAGACTGAGGCACAGGCTTTGTTGCGGCAGATTTCGCACCTGGAGCATCTGCACGCCTTCCTCAAGCTCAAGAACAACGAGCGGCAGCCAGATCCCGCTGTCGTGGAGAAGCGGGCGCAGAGGGGTGAGGCCGGGCTGCCACCTCCGTGTCCCACAGGCCAGATCGCCCCCGACTCAGGGGCACAGCGTGGGGCGTAGGGTCTCGCTGGCTGCGGGCAGGGCTAGCAGGCAAGGGGCGGGGCCTAGGAGGGGCGGGGCCTCGGAGGGGGCGGTGGAGGCTGAAGAGCAGCTTACCTGCACAGCAGGGCTTTGCTCGGCCACCTGAGGGAGCCCTCTGGGTAGGGCCCTGACTGCTCCATGCCCCTCAGCCCGGGAGGTTGCAGAAGGCCTCCGAAAGACCTCCCAGGAGAAGCTGGTGCTGCGGTATGAGGACGCCCTGAAAAAACTGTCCCAGCTGACCGGGGAGAGCAACCCGGACACGTTGGTGGAGAAGTACCTGGAGTGTAAGTGGGGCCTGGGTGGGGCTGCGAAGGCTGTCCGAGGGAGGAGGCCAAGGGCCACACCCCAGCACCTCCCAAATCAAGTCACAACTGGCCACCCCACTCCGGCCCGCCACTGCGGCCTCCACCTGCGACTGCAGCAACGGAGGAATTAGGGTGGGAGGTGCCGCCTCCTCCCACCCACTTCTTACTGTCTTCCCCTCTCTCTGCCCCGCCTCACCATCCTGTGTCGTGGGTTCCTCCCTCGCTGTCTCTGGGGTCTCCCTCTTCTCTGTCCCCTTCTCTCCCCTGTCCCCATCCTGTGTCATGGTTTCCTCTCCCACCCTCTGCCCGTCTCTATTTCTGCGGTCTTTCGTCTGCCCTCCTCGTATTTCTCTCCCTCCCCATCTGTCTCCTCTCCGAGAGCCTGAATTTGTGTGTTTTTCCTCTCAATCTCTTCCTACGGCCGCTGGTCCCCCTTCACATCCTCCCCTCAACCCTGTGTCCCTGTGTTTCTCCCTCCGAGTCCCCGTTACTATCTGTTTCTTGGGGTCTTTGTTTCTCTCTTTACCCACCTCTCCCATTTTCTCTCGCTCTCTCTCTGTTTCTTGGGGTTTCTGTCTGTCACCCTTTCTCTCTCGGGATTTCTGCATCTCTGTGAGTGTTCTCTCTGTCGCTGTCCCTTTCTCGCACTCGGACTTGCTCTGTATTTCCGTATCCCCTGCGTCTTTATCTGTGTCTCCGTCTCCGTGACCCTGTCTCTCCATTTCTCTGTGTCTGTCTTAATACCTCTTTCCTGTCCCTCTGCGTGTCTCTGTCTCCGTCTCCCTGCACCCTGTCCTTCTGGCTCTGAACTAGTCGAGGAACGAAACTTTGCCGAGTTCAACTTCATCAATGAGCAGAACTCTGAGCTCGAGCACCTGCGGGAGGAGATTAAAGAGGTGATCGAGGCTCTCCCCCAGGTCCCCTCCCTCCATCCGGCCCCACCTCCTCTCATCATGCCTCCCTCTTCCTTCAGGGTCCCTCCCTTCTCCCTTTCCCTACCCCTCCTTTCCCACCAGCCCCCCTCCTCCCGGCCCCGCCCCTCTTATCCTCCAGGCCCCGCCCCTCTCCTATGGCCCCGCCCATCTCCTCCTCCGGGTCTGACCGGAGTCAGTCCCAACACCCCTCCTTGCCCCTCCCCAACAGATGCAGGAGGCCATAGCCAGTGCCCGCGCTGGAGAGGAGGCCGAGCGCTCGCTGCGGGAGCAGCAGCGGACAGTGTTGCAGCGGCGTGTGGATGAGGTGCATGCGGAGGCCTCGGACCTCGATGCCCACTTCCAGGAGTTGCGGCAGCTGCTGGAGAAGCTTAAGGCCGGTGAGCACCGGTGGTAGCCCCTCTTCCATCCCCAGCTTCCTCGTTTGGGGGTGTGAGATGAACACAAGTAGGGCTGTGCCCCTGGTTGGCCCCGTGGGTTCCACCGAGACTTTGTGCCCTAGCTTATCTGTCCATTCTATATCCATTCATCCAGTGTCCATCTATCCATCCAATGTCCGTCCATCTATCCAGTGTCCATCCATCCTATCCATCCATCCATCCATCCATCCATCCAGTGTTCATCCATCCATCCTATATCCATCCATCCATCCATCCTATATCCATCCCAGTGTCCATCCATCCATCCACCCATCTATTCTCTATCGACCTCAGACCTATCCTTCCATCCATCCATCCATCCCACATCTATCCATCCATCCTATATCCATCCATCCATCCGTCCATCCATCCATCCATCAATTCATCCATCCATCCATCCCTATATCCATCCATCCATCCGTCCATCCATCCATCCATCAATTCATCCATCCATCCATCCAGTATCCATCTATCATTCTCTTCTTCTATGCATTTCTTATTTTTGGGGAAGAAGCAGTTCAGTGTACTCAAGAGCCAGGCCTGAGTTTGAATCCCAGCTCCACCATTTGTGAATCTTGGCATGTGGTTTCCTCTTTCTCAGCTCATTTCCTCTTCTAAAAGTGGATATGACAGTGCTCCTGTGTAGGAGTGTCATGAGAATTAGATGGGAAGACGATGGAAAGCTGGAGACAGGAAATGTGTCTGTTGGGGGAACAAGCAGGAGTGCCACCTGCTGGCACACAATGGGAGCTAGCTTATTGGCGCCTGTGCCCAGCCCTGCACTAGGTGATGTGGACTGACATGGGCACTAGGCACTTGTCACCCAGCTGCTTAGATGGAGGACACCCTGGGCACTGTGGGAGCAAGAGGAGGCACTAACATAGTCTGGGCTTCAGGACCAGCTACACAATTTGTGGGGCCCCAAGAAGAATGAAAATGCAGGGCCACATGTTCAAAAATTGCCAAGAATTTCAAGATAGTAGCAAACTAAGAGTGGGGCTCTTCTAAGCCTGAGTGTAGGGCCCTGAGCGACTGTGCAGGTCACACGCCCATGAAGCCAGCTCTGCTGGGGTAACAGGAAGGGCTTCCTGGAAGTGGTGATGCTTGAGGGTGATTTTGAAGGTTAAGTATTTAACTGACAAACTGGGGAGAGAGAGATACTCCCAGCAAAGTAAAGGCATGGAGACTGGGCAAGCAAGGTGCATTCTGGGAATGCAGGTTGTTCATCAGGAGCCCTAGTGGTGCAAAGGTTAAGCACTCAGGCGCTAACCGAAAGGTTGGCAGTTCGAACCCACCCAGCGACTCTACCAGAGAAAGGCCTGGCGATCTGCTCTCATAGAAATTACAGCCTAGAAAACCCTATGGGGCAGTTCTGTTCTGTCACAGAGGGTCGCTATGAGTTGGAATTGAGTTGACAGCACCTAACAACAACAGGTTGTTCATTGAGCAAAGCGTGGGGGTAGGGAGTTAGTTGAAGAGGAATCAGCTCCTGAAAAGATGCCAGGCATCTGGGCTTTTTCCTGGGGTGCTGGGGAGCCACAGGAAGGCTGTGAACAGGGGAGGGTAGAGTTATCTCTGGGGCTGTGTGGGTGGACAGACTGGAGAGGGGAAGCTGGAGGCCAGGAGGTGGGGGAAGAACCTGGGGCAATGATCCAGGTGGGAGAGGTTTATTTCTTAAAAAAAAAAGTTCAGTGTTATTGAGGTGTAAGAAGTTGTTGTTGTTGTTAGGTGCCATTGAGTTGATTTTGATTCGTAGTGACCTCATATGATAGAGTAGAACCATCCCATAGAGTTTTCAAGGCTGTAATCCTTACGGGAGCAGATTGCCAGATCTTTCTCCCATGGAGCTGCTGGGTGGGTTCAAACCTCCAACCTTTCAGTTAGCAGCCAAGTGCTTAAACGTTGCACCACCAGGGCTCCTCAAGGTGTAAAATAGACCCATTTAAAGTGAAGTTCACTGAGTTTTGTAATTTCCAGAATCAAGATGTAGAACATTTCCATCACCCCCAAAAGTTTCTTTATGCCTTTTCCTAGTGAATCTGTCCCCAGGTCCTGGCCCCAGGAAACCACGGATCTGTTTTCTGTCACTAAAGATTAGGTTTGATTTTTCTAGGGTTTCAGATGAATGGAATCATACAGTGTATTTGTTAGTTGCCATTGGGTCGGATTCATTAGTTTTCTAAGGCTCTGTGATAAATCACCACAAACTGGCTGGCTTAAAGCAACATAAATTTATTCTCTTACAGTTCTGGAGGCTAGAAGTTCTGAATTTAGGGTGCTAGCAGGGCCAGGCTCTCTCTGAAAGCTGTAGGGGAAGATCTGTCCTTGTTTCTTCCAGCTTCTGGTAGCCCCAGGCGTTCCTTGACTTGTGGCAACTTTAACCTCTGTCTCTGTCTTCACATGGCCACCATGTTTTTCTCTATGTGTTTTCTCCTCCTCTTGTGAGGACAACTGGATTAGGGCCCACCTTACTCCAGCATGACCTCATGTTAACTAACTACATCTGCAAAGACATTATTTCCATAGAAGATCACATTCACAGATACTGGAGGTTACGACTTCAACATATTTTTTGGGGAGGTCACAGTTCAACCCATAACATTCAGTATGTACTCTTTTGTATCTAACTCTTTTTTCCCCCCAGTATAATGATTTTTAGGTTCATCCATGTTGTGTGTATCAGGAGTTCATTCCTTTTTATGGCTGAGTAATATTCTATTGTGTGTATGTACCGCAGTTTGTTTATCCATTCACCTGTTGATGGACATTTGGGTTTTTTCCACTTTTTGTCTATTGTGAATAAAGTTGCTATGAACATTTGTGTACAAGTTTTTGTGTGAATGTATGTTTTAAGTTCTCTTGGGTAAATATCTAGAAGTGGGATTGCTAGATTGTGTGGTAAGATGTTTAATTTTTGTGTATGGTGTGAGGTAAGGGTCAAGTTTCATTTTTTTCCAAATGCACATACAATTGTTCCAGCAGCATTTGTTGAAAATATTGTCTTTTCTCCATTGGCACCTTTGTCAAAAATTCTTTGACCA